ACATCTTGCTTTGATGTCTTTTCATTTTCTTTGTATTTTAGTTTAATTTCTCCATTGATGCTTGTAAATTGCTTATGGTAGGTAGTTTTATTGCTAGTATCAAGAACCTTTAGGAAATTACTACTTCTCGGCAATGTCTTACAAGCATGTCTTGCTTTTGACTTTTAAGTCTATTGCAATATCCTCCTCTTCAATTTGTTGGGGATGAGAAGTTGCTGCTTATTTGTTCTAGCTCCTAGTTCTTTGGCATTGGCCTATAGTATTGCTTATGACCCTCAGGAAATTTTAGTCTTGGAATATAAGGAAGAACAATTGATTAGAACAACTGTGTTCATTTTGGCTAAAATAGAAGAAGCAGTAATAACAACAGGATGCAACACACTCTAGAAAATGACAAACTTTGGTAATTATTAACTTGTCACTGTTAACCATATGAACAAGGATTGTAGTTATATAACAAAATCTAAAATAAACCAGAAAATTGTATACAGTAATTAGTCCCTCAATATGGTGATTTTACCCCCAAAAGTGGTAAAAATTTGAAAGAAGTTAGAGGAAAAATAGAGAAATAGAAGAAGAAAAAGGGATGAAAAGCAAGGCTGAAGGACAAAGGAAGATTGTGTAAGCTTTGGGAACTTATGAAGACAGGAGGGAAAGAAAGAATGAAAAAACAGAAAAAAGAATAAAATAACAACAGCCAGGTATGGTGGTACATGCCTGTAATCCCAGTCCTTGGGAGACTGAGACAGGAGGATTAATTGAGTTCAAGGCCAGGCTGGGCTACAAAGTGAGTTCAAGGCCAGTCTGAACTGCCTAATGAAACTTTGTTTCAAAAAGACACACACACACACACACACACACACACACACACACACACACGAAATGAGAAAGAAAGAACAGAAAAGAAAATCCAAAAAAACAAAACAAAAAAACTCCAACAATTATACTCTTATAAAAACAAGAAGAAACAATCAAGGAAAAGAAAAAAGTTAAAAATGAAATAGCACAGAAAGGAAAAAAAGCAGAAAAAAAAATGTTCACTTCATGGCATGTCTCTGCTGTCACTAGTAGACAAGTTGGGTAGACAGAGCCCAGATCCATGTTGATTGAGCCCAGCCAACAGTAGAATTATTGCAGTGGTAGATAATTCCTTCACGCCTAGGCCTTTAGTTCTGCTGTTTAGACTTCTAGTTTCTGAATTTGAGGCTGGGACTTAAGTTTTTCAGCCAACAACAATCTGAATGCCTCCTGGTCACTTGAACTAGGCTCTCTGACCTACCACCAGGTTGAACAGAGCTGCCCCTTACCCTGACACTGGGAGCCAATAGATAGAGTCAACTTGCAGATGCTCTAAGTTCTGAGTTCAGTTGGCTCCTTTCCAAAATAGTGACTGGCCTATTGCTCTCTCCTGGGGTACATCTCAACCTGAATAATTCACCATCTACTGCAGTCTGCAGTGTCCACTGTTCCGCTCCACTGGCGCATTCCTCCAGGGGGGCTTTTTGGGTTTTCAGTAGTTACCATGCTTCTGCAAACTTGAGCCACCTCTCCCACAAGGTGACCTGGAGCTCAGGGATAAAGCATAGTTTGCCACCTCACTCTTCTGCATTGCAGTCATTCTCTTCACTCCTTTGGGCTCCAATTGTCACTTCAGGTCTGTGCTGGGTCCTGGGGATCCATTTTCTTCCTCTTCTTTTCCTTATGTTGCTTTATTTCAGCATCTGTATTCCAAATATTGGAGAGGCTGTTTCTTTGCTGCTCACCATTCTCATATCTCCCCTAGAAGTCCATTTATATTTTTTGATGCTACTGTGAATAGTATTATTTTCATAATTTCATTGTTATTAAGTATTGATATACATGAATACTATTGATATTTGTGCATTGATTTTGTATCCTGCTACCTTGCCAAAATTTTTCTTTCATCCTAAGAATTTTCTAGTGAAATTCTTTGGATTTTCTATGTAGAGGATCATGTCATTTGCAAATAATGATAACTTGACTTTTCCATTTCCTGTACACATTCATTTCTTTCTATTGTGTAATTGCTCTAGCTAATGTTTTGAGTTTTGTATTGAACAAAAGTACTGATTTGCTCCTAATTTTAGAGGAAAAGCTTTTAGCTTTTCCCCTATTTAGTACGATGTTGGCTATTGGTTCGTCATAATGTTTATTATCTGATTAAGGTATAGATCTTCTATGCCTGTTTTTTTTTCAGGATTTTTATCATGAAGTGGTGTTGCATTTTATAAAAAACTTTTCATGACCTTTATTGATTGATCATATAGATTTTGTCCTTGATTCTGTTCATGTGGTGTATTTCATTTATTGATTTGTATATGTTAGACCATCCTTGCAAGGATAGGATGAAATCTACTTAGTAATCTTGTATGATCCTTTTGATGTTGTGGTACATTCCTTTTGCCAATATCTTACTGAGGATTTTCCATCTCTGTTCATTAAGAAGATTGACCTGCAATTTTCTTTTTAGTTGGGTTTTTGTCTGATCTTGGGATTATAGTGATTCTGGCTTCAAAAAATGAGGGTTTTTTTCCTTTCAATTCACTTGAAGAGTTTGAGAGGTATGTATCATTTTTAAAGGTTTTATGGAATTCAGCAGTGAATCCATCAGGTCTTGTTCTTCATTCTTAGTTGGTAGGTTATTTATTACTTGATTTCATTGCTTACTATTGGATTGTTCAACATTTTTATGTTTTCTTATTTAGTTTTGGTAATTTATGTGCATCTAGGAATCTGCACATTTCTTCAAAATTTTCTAATTTGTTGGAATACAGTTGGTCATAGTGGTTACTATCTTCTGGATTTTGCCCTTTTTGTTTCTTATTGCATTGATGTGTATTTTTCTCTTTTTTTTGATATGTTTGGCTAAAGGTTTATCTATGTTATTTATTATTTCAAAGAATTGGCTCTTCATTTCATTAATTCTTTATATTGCTTTTTATTCTCAATTTCATTAATTTGCAATCTGATTTTTTGTGATTTCTGTGGTGGGTTGACAACTGATGGGCAACTTGTAACACCCAGCTAAACTGAATCAGTATGGCCCTGGGTGTGGAAGGCCCACCAGAGTATTGTTGCCAACCACATAATAAAGGAGATATGCAGAGGAAGAGGTGATACTATTGGTTCTCCTGGAGGAACTTGTCAAGGGGCTTTCCCAATGTGAACTCAGTTGCTATTATCAGAGGAGCCCAGGACTTGGCTGTTGCTGAAGATGGCTACAATTCTTTTGGAAAGAGCTCTGGTACTTACTTTGAACACTGCTTCCTGGCTCCAGTGCAGGTCCTTCAGCCTGCTGGCACAGATCCTTGATCCTGCTGGCACAGACTTTCTAGCTTTCACCACTGATCTTTGCCTTTCCCAGTGTGGATCCTTGATACAGACTTTTAGGAGACATTGTTGTGGGCTTTAGGCCTTCAGCTGGATTCTTGCAGGACATTTCCGTGGAACCCAGGCCCTCAGCTGGATTCTTTGGGCCTCTAGTGTGTGGATGGGATCCTAAATTCTTTTGTATTTGACTCTTTGGGTGACTATTACAAAATAATTCTATAAGTTATGTGTCCTGTAGTAAATCATTTCTCTTGCAAACCCTGACTACAATAATTTCCCTCCTTAACTTCAGTTTGGGCTTGTATTTTTTCCAAGTATCTTGAGGGTCCTCATTAGGTTATCTGAGATCCCTCTGCTTTTTTGTGTGTGCACTGATTGCAATAAGATTTCCTCTTAGTTCTGTTTTCATTGTGCCCTTATTTAAGTTTTGGTGTATCAATGTCATTTGCTTTCAGAAATTGTTTCATTTCTTCCTGGGTTTCTTCTGTGATCCACTGAATGTTCAAAAGTATGTTATTTATTTTCCTTTTGTTTTCTGTATTCTGTGGTTTTTTCCATTATTAATGTCTAGTTTCACTCTAAAATAATCTGATAGTAGAAAACACAAAGTGATGTTGATTCTTTTGGATTTATTTAAGCATGTTTTATGTGTTAGTATGTGGTCTGTTTTGGAGAAAGTCCCATATGCTGCTGAGAAGAATGTCTACCATGATATAGTTGGGTAGAACACTTTGTAGATATCTATTAAGTCTATATTTTCAAAGGTGTGGCTCAGTGCTGATATTTCTGTATTGAATTTTTTTAGTTGATCTATCTCTTTGTGAAAATAGGGCAGTGGGGTCACCTATTATGGTTTTATTAATGCTTATTTAGTATTTTATGACCAGTAGCATGTTTTATGAAGATGGGGGCTCCAGTATTCAAACTTATTCTACAAAAGGGAGGTTAAGTTTCTTATTTCAGCCATGGGGACCTCTTTAGATTCAGCTTGATAACATGATCATACAAATACCATAATCCCATCACAGACTACAATGCACCTTACCCTCAAGCATCCGAAATCCTGAGTATGTACTTCTTTGTTTCGGCTTAATGAATTCACCTGGATATCTTGCTGACACTTTCTGAAATGTTTTTCTGTGACGAGAGTCACAAAACTACCGGAGGTGGGGAGCACGACTGAAGCTCTGATCTCCTCTTTGGAGGACCTCCTTCCATCCCATCAAGTGACAAAATGAAGTGCTACAAGTATCCAAACTGTATCACAGAGGACCAAGAGGCCCATTTTGGCCTAAAATATACTCAATGGAAAGTAACCCCAAGGCGGCTACTTTCAATATACAGCAAGAGGGCTGAAAGAAATGGATGTTGTTTTCTTTGGATATATTCATGCCAATAGCAAATATATAGCCTTTTTCATGTTAATTTAATGCTCATAAAACTCCAAAGATAAGAGGGTTTTCATTTTCATAGGGTTTCAGAACTTTTAAGTGATAGATTCAAGCCTTGGCTATCTAGACCGAGAGCCCATGTTACCATGGGGTGGATTTAGCAGACATATCCTAGGCTCTTGTGTACAACGAAGAACTGCAAAGGTATATCACATCCAGGGGTAAAAGAAAAGCAGCCATGTCATATAACCAGTGTAATTACATTGCATTTTTATTACTGAGAGGTGGCGGAGAGGAAGTCTGACTTTTGAGAAGTCTGGGCTACGTATCAATATGTAGCAGAATTCTATTTCCGGGAGCCAGGAAACCAGAGGTTTCCAAAAGGAGGTGGCATATACATCGATCCTGTTAGGGTCGCAGGTAATTCCACCACCTGGACCGCGGTGCTTTCCTCAAGGAAGTCCTGCGGAGACGCTGCAGAGGTTCTGGGTGTAACTCTCAGAATTCAGCAACAGAAATCCGGGACCTTGCATTTTCTCAAACTGTGCTCCACAGCTCCACCCAGCGACCTCCCCATCCCCCGCTGGCACCGCCTCTAGTCAGGAAAATTCCACAATGCGCGCAGCGTGCTGAACGTGACAAGCGGAACCCGCACGTACCACCACAGTACCTCCGCAGATGGACAGAGCCTTGGAGCAATTGCAGCTCGCCAGCGCATGTGGGCCTCGGCCAATAGCAGCATCTCTACAAGGCGTGCCCTGAGTCACGACAAGGAAGGGGCGGTGCCATAGGTCGGAAGGCTGGGAGCGGAGAAAGCTCTCTCTACTTGCACGCGCTGTGCTCGGCATTCTGCACGCGTACCCAGCGCTCTACGTACGTATTGTTGGCCGCTGTCTGAGTCCCCGGCTTGTCGTCTCCGCTCCATTACCAAAATGTCGCTTTCTAATAAGCTGACTCTAGACAAACTGGAAGTGAAGGGGAAGCGAGTCGTCATGAGGTAATTCTACTCGTCTGTCCGCTAATTCTCGGGGCTGTTCCTCAGGCCTCTCCAGCGCGGGCACATTTGCTATCCTATCTACCCGGAGTTGCTTTTAACTTCCAGCTGGGTTCCAGGGGTCCTATGCTTGCTGGGTGATGCTGCCCTCCAGTGGGATTGAGGATGTGTCCAGGGTTGATGGTTTCTAACCGCAGTTTTTCCAGACCAGAAAGTGGCTGTGGTCACATTTTGGGAGTGGATCAGATTGTTGAAAAAGGGCTCAGATTGCTGGGATTCATTTTGCCCCCTTTTGAATTGCCAAAATGGAGTTTCATCATCTCCAGCTCCCAATTAGTAAGGTGGGACCTAACGTTTATCCTGCAAATCTCTAGGCCTGAGGAAGGGACCTTGAAAGGTCATTTGTCTAATTTCTTCTCCATCTCCTTAGTCCGGACAAATGAGAAAAGGCCCACATTTTAAAGGTCCTTGTTATGCGGGGCGTGGTAGTTTACACTCCGGAGGCTGAGACCGGAGGATCACAAGTTCCAGGCCAGCTTGGCCTACAGTTGTTTTCTAAAAACGACTTTTGTTGTTTTCTGAAAACAACAGAAAAAGGTTGGTGAATATATTCATTATGTATCACAAACATGGACCAATAGGAAAAAAAACAAAAACAAGATGTGACATCCCTGCGCAAAATGTCCTCTTTCCCAGAGGATGTTGCTTTAAATGTTAAAGATTGGAACTCCCTTAAAGAATTGGGGTGGGAGGATGGAGTGCACTGGATGAGGCCCTGCAGAGCTTATGTAACAGGCAACTGTCCGTTGCTTGACAGAATCGTTAGACTCCAGGAGTTGCATCAGGGTTGTGGCACATGCTGGGTGATGGTTGTGCAGGTTGTGCATTTGCTCATACTTTGAGGTCCTCCAGCCTCATGCCCATATATGGATATAGAAGTAGAATATTATAATTGAGGGAGCCTCTCCATGCAGTTGGTGTTCTCCTGCACATGTGGATCCCTGGTCATTTAACATGGCTTCTCCCATTTCTGCCGTAATTACTGGCATGGTGTACAGAACTTTTATCCTTTTTTGTAACGTTGAGTACATTTGTGCATGCCAAGAGTAAAGTGCAGGGCATTGTTAGGTACATAACTGGTGAATTTAACCTTGAGCAGTCCAAGAGTTTTTTTTTTTTTTTTTTTTAAACTTGGGGTTAAACTGAAGATCTTGGCTCTGAGCTGTATTTCTAGCCTTTTTTATTTTGCCAAGTTACCCCTGCTGGGGTGGAACTTGTTTCTTCTCCCTCAGCCTACTAGTGTGCTAATAGGCCTGGAAGAGTGGAATTTTCGAAGGGCCATAAAGGTTTGCGTTGATTGCCTCATCCAACTTTGACCCTTTTGGGAAGTGATTGATTGATGAGTAGTTTTGTGAATGGTATGATCCAGCACTTTTCACAATTTAGGCCAGTTCAAGTGAGGGCGTCCTTTGAATATTAGGCAGTAGATCTCCACCTATCCCTGCTTTACATGTATGAGGGTACTTAGAAAACTCTAAAAATTCATGTATCTCTTCCCTTTTCTTTTTTAGTGGCCAATATTACTTTGTAAGTGACCTTTGGCTTGTTATGGAGATAGACAGCTAAGGAGTTTATATCCATGAGAAACAGCTGATGTTCATATTTCCCCGGAAGGGATAGGTCTTGTAATCTGGGCCAAGTGGGAATCCCAGTCATTCTAGTGTCAGATGAGAGCATTTTTCTGACCCTTTAACATTCTAAAGGAAGGCGACAGACTGTGTAGGACAGATAGTCATTGGTCTGCTGTTAGCACTTAGGTTTTATTCCTTCCCATCTCTACTGTGTTCAAGGATGACTTTACAGATGCATGAGCAGCTAAAAGACAAAGAACAGGAAGGGCATCATGCTGGTCAGCAGTCCTGGGGTTTATCTCCTCTCTGTAGGGAAACTGGCTTAGGGAATTGAATTGGTTGGCTGGAAGTGAGACTGGGGAAGATGCTTATTTCTTCTCCACATCTAATACAGTTTCATTTGACACAGATTAACCCTATCCTTGAAATGATTGGCTAGGTCTGTTTTGCTGATGGAAAATGACCTTGTCCAAGGTTACTGAACTAGCAAGTTGGTGGAGTGAGGACTATAATGTAGGTCTTTTTAAAAGGCTACCAGTCAGATCTTTTAAATACTTGGACATATGACCTAAGAGAGATTGAAATAGACCTTTTTTTGTCTGTTGAAGGTTATAAGCAATAGATTTCCCCTTGGAATGTGGATAAATTGTATTGGTTTAGGCAGAGGATGGGAAGTTACTTTGTTTCTTGATCATTAAGGTGTCTCTTGAACAGATTCACATTGTAGTACTATTTTGTAGAGGTGCCTATGCTTCTGTGCCTCAATGTGATGGTTGCTGTCAGTGTTTCACACATGGGGCCTCCTGAGTAGTTGAGTGGCTGCTTTACTTGCCTCTCCCTCTGTCCTGAGAAGGGAACTCCGGTGTTTGTTTACTTATCTAGTCCCCTTGTTTGTGTTGCCAAGAAAATTAATTTTTTTGAGGGAACTTTAGATAGTCAGAAACCTTTGACTTAGTATCAGGTTTCACCTCAGTTTTTTTTTAAGGATTCCAGTTACTTTACAGTCCCTTTGAGTAAGTTTGCTGTATATTTTTGCAGTGTCATTTCCTTTTTTTTTTTTTTTTTTTTTCTTATAGGTTGCCAGTCATTCTTCGGTTGCTTATAAACTGTATCCCTTTTACTTGTTCCTGCCTGTTTTTTTTTAAACCTCACTTTTTTTTTATAACTTGTTAAACAGTAGATCAGACTCAGTAGAAGGAGGAAAAAACTGAGAGCAGAGAAAACAAGCTTCTGAGACAGCCATAGTATCCCAATTTTCTAGGCAGGGACAGTAAAGCAGTGATGTGTATGGTGTGAGAACTTTTAATGAAACTGCACCTGTAGTCCTGAGATTTCAAATAATAAAGACTTGATATTCTTATTCCAACCAAATCAATATTTTTTAAAGTTTTATTTTGAAATAAGTATAGATTTACAGGAAGTTGCAGAGATTATATATACAGAAAGTCTTTTGTTTACTGAGTTTTCCCAGGGGCTACATCTTATAATATACTTGGTATAAATTGTAGGTAATTGACATTGGTGTAAAATATATATAATTCTATTCCATTTTAATACATGTGTAGATTTGTATAAACACTAGCATAATCAAGATACAGAACTGTTCAATCACAACTAAGGTCTCCTTCATACTGGCCCTTTTTAGTCACACTATACGAATCCCAATTCCTGGTAATTATTGGATATTTAATATTCTCACCCACTCCCCTGTCATATTAGGAATTCAATCTGGAGACTTGTGTGTGCTAGCTACTGCTTTACCACTTAGTTATACTCCTAACTTTTATTTAACATTTTGAGAGATCTCTAGATTTTTTCCAAAGCTGCTACACCATTTTACATTCTTACCAGTAATGTATGAGTGATCAGTTTCTCTGCATCCTTACCAGCTTTGGTGATGTTGCTGTTTTTTTTTTATTTTAGCCATTCTAAGGTGTGTTTGATACATTTTTAATTTGTACTTGACACAAAGCTTTGGAATGTTACAATGAAGTGGAAAAGCAAAGAGTGGAAATTTTACTTAATTGCAACCTGTAGAATGTGGAGGACAGAACAGTTCCTGTGTTGGAATCTTCCAAGAAGCCAAAAGTAGAGTTGTTGACAGTGGGGGATGAAAAGGGGAGGCAATACAGAGAGCAATGAGGAGAGAGGACAATTCCAGCTTTTATCAGTAAGCTGATGCCATGTTAAATGAGATAGATGAAGATTTTTTGGTGTTTCAGCCTAAAGATATTTCTTCTTCCTGTCAGGTACTAGCACTGCACTGCAGGGGATGGCTTGTGCTCACCCTGTGGTATTAGCTCTTTGACCATGAGCTTTTCTGGGAGGCTATATGTGAGAGAATGATCTGTGTGGTAAGGGGATACTCCATCCTCTTTGGAGTATACTTTACAGCTGGCAAAGATCCTGGTTCAAGACATTTAAAAAAGATTCTTAGAATCAAGTGCCCTGAAACCAAGTAGAATGCATTTCTTTCTTAGAATAATACTGCTTTTAATTTTGAAGACTTTTTAAAAAATGTTTCAATCTAAAATTGTTTTTGCCAGTGCACCTTTGCAAAGGTTACTCTTCACTGAGGTAGACTGGGGCTCAGGCCTAGGCCATATAGAGATTTAGTGGTCTTTTCAGTAGGTTTGTATGACTTTGTAATAAATCTGCCAGCCCTTAGCTATAGAGCGGAAAGGGTAGTATAAAAGGCAGAGGGAAATAGAGTTTTATGATCAAGGGTAACAGTGGTCTTCTTGATTAGATTATACTTCCCTGCAATTAGTACCTTAGTGAGTAGTGCTAAGAATTTTTAGTAATGGTTGATCTTTCACATCACAGAATTACAGATTAGAGAAGCAATAAATAACATGTAATAGTAGCAAACATTTTTATGACACTTTATGCCAGATACTCTTCTTCTAAGCAGTTTACAAAGTGTTAAGTTGTTTTCTGTGAGATAGATACTATCCACCACATTGTATAGAGAAGAAGAAAAGTCACTTAAAATGATCTTGGCAGACAACTTAGACCTCAAAATAGCAGCCACACATCATTGCTTCAGACACATTGATGTAGGCTGAGGTGACAAGGACTTTAGAAGAATTAGTTTTTAAAAATGGTAAAGTAGCCAGGCATTATAGATGCATGCCTATAATCTGTAGCAATCTGTGAAGCTGAGGCAGGATCACGCTTCAAGCCTAACTTGGGAAACTCAGTGATTTAGTGAGAGACTGTCTCAAAAGAAAAAGGGTTGCAGACATAGCTCAGTGCAAAGGCCCTGAGTTCCCTCTGTAGTACTGGAAGATGGAGAGAAAAAGGAAAAGTAATGTGGTCTATTAAGTGAGAAGGTACAGACTGCAGTACATTATTAGCTTGCACCATCTTGATCATTCTGCTTTTAATTGAACATCTTACTTCCTCTTCTCAAGCTTTTTGAAAAAGGTTTTATTTATATTGTTTGTGTATTGCTTGAAGGATATCATTTGTGACTTTGGTACCAGAGGCTATATGTTTTTTCCTAGACTTTTCAGCCACAGAATTTCTTTAAAAAGGATGATCTCTTGATGTGGTTTATTTTTTCAATTAATTTTTATTTTTTTACTTTTGAGTGATGTTAGTTTCACAAGGACCTAGACCTAGTATCTAAAGAATCAGAATCAAGATACATTCCGTATTGTTCCTTACCTCCTCAGGCTGCTGCTCAGATACTGTCATGCCAGGTTCAGATAGAAACACTTTTAGGTAGAACTGGTTTTATCCTCCCAAGTCTGTAGGGGTAGTTCCTGTAATTTAAGTAAGGTTTTATATTTTAAAATTTCTTTTTAAAGTATGAGATGCATATCTAAAAGGGCACTAATCATAAGCTCAAAAAATTATCACAAAACAGGTACATTTGTAGGCTCAGATCAGCATGAAATAGAACATTACTAGAAGCCTCCTCTGATGTTCTCTCCAGTCACTGCTTATATCCCCTTCCCCATAGCTAACTATTATATTGACTTTTAACACCACTGATAATTTTTAAAGGCAAAATTCGAATTTTCAGCTTGCTTAACTGGCTTAACGTAAGTTTTTTTTTTCCTAATCTTTGGTGGAACAATAAGTTGATCATAACCCTGAAACTGAAACTTTTTTCTTTTTTTTTAGAGTGGATTTCAATGTTCCTATGAAGAACAACCAGATAACCAACAACCAAAGGTAAGATCTCTGCTAAACCTGGACTTGCTTTAGGAAGCCCAGATGCTTTACGATATACGAGTTTAGCAGGGTATGGTGGCCTACGCCTGTAACCCACCAACCTGGAGACTGAGGCAGGATGATTGCTGCAAGTTTGAGGCTAGCCTGACCGCACAGTGAGTTCAAGGTGAGCCCGAATTACATAGTCACACACACACACACAAAAAGATGTGTGGCTGTGAGTACACAGGATAAAGTGGTTTTCCTTTCATAGTGTAGAGCTATAGCAACTTAAGCCATATGACTTTGGCTTTCTACTAACTGACCATCTGTTCTGCTTTGTTATGAAGCTGTAGGAATTTAAACATTCTTAATTTATGAGAAAATATAAATAGAAAAAAATCACCCTAAGAAAGTATTGCCCCCCTCATTAAGTCAAAGAACTGTAAGTTATTCTTTTTTTACAGAATATCAAACTTTAAGGTTGATTCTCTTGCAAAACGAAGAACCAAGAAAGATAAGAAGTTTAATATTTATTAAGCTTCCATGTAGTTTTAATTTTTTAAATTAAGCAAACTTTTGTTGAAACTTAAATTGTGGTACAGAAGTATATTTTAAATGACTTATTCTAACACTAATGAAGAAATGATGGCACTGAAATTTTCCCTCCTCTACCAAACTAGTATAGGTTACTATTCAATCTACAAGCTTACATGTAGTTTTATAAGATCATATTCCAGGTGTTCCAGATAAAGGTAGCTTTTAAGAATTTTGATTTGTTTTTGCTCCTAAAAAACAGAAAGGAAAAGACTGGAAAAAAACATTTTCAGTGAGTTTAGCTGTGTTAATACCTTAGATCCTAGATTTAGAAGCAAAAGTTTTAAGAGATAGTACTGGTTTTGCTTTTGACTGGGTTTTTATTTTAAATTAAAAGTATGAGCTAGAAAGGTGCTTCTTAACCATCTAGACCAGTGTTGTCTTAACAGAAATCTAATATGAGCTATATTTTAGTTAATCTTATATCTAAAATAATTATTCAAATATATCAATATAAAAATTAATAAAAGGGATATCTAACTTTTGCTCCAAATCCTCAAGATCCAGTTTGTGGGCCGGGGATTTAGCTCAGCGACATAAGCGCCTGCCTGGCAAGCGCGAGGTCGTGAGTTCAGTCCCCGGTAGTGCAGAGAGCCGGGCATGGTGGCTCACGCCTGTAATCCCAGCACTCGGGAGGCTGAGGTGGGGGGATCCTTGTGAGTTCAAGACCAGCCTGGGCTACAAAGTGAGCTCAAGGTCAGCCTGAACTGCATAGCGAGACCCCGTCTCAAAAAAGACAAAAAAAAAAATCCAGTTTGTATGTGTGTCCATGTGTATATGTGAGTATGTATGTTACTGGGGATTGATCCCAGGGCCTGTGCCCTGAGATAAAGTCACTGAATGTTTAGGCTCAGCTCCAACTTGGGATCCTCCTGCTCTAGGCTGCCAAAATGCTGGAATTACAGGTGTGCACCACCAGGTCTGGTTTCCAGCATATATATTGCACTGTATAGCACATCTCAATTTGTACTACTCTCATTTCTACAATTCAATAGACATATGTGACGAAGACTATCATTTTGTATAGTGTAGACATAGACTCAGAACAGTTTCAGATATTAGCCCCAGAATAAAGCTTGACATTTTATCAAGTACATTTCTGCTATATTATAGTGGCAAGATACTTGTACATGGAAGCTTCATACCCTCTTGATTTGCATTATTCTAAAACATTCAAGAAAGATTAGAAGTTTTTTTTGCCATGAATAAAGAACAGATGAACATCTGGAACAGGCTTTCCAGTGGGGACATCAATATATTCTTCTCTTCACAGTAAAAAATGTAGAAATTGTATGTAGTGTTTCCGTTTAGTTCCTAAGATATTAAAATTTGTATATTTAATTGTCCATATTAATGAGATTCAGTTTGGCATGCCTTGGTGATATCTAGCATCCCCTACCCCCATTCCTGATAATCACTATTCTACTTTTAGGTTGAATTTCTTTTAGTTTCCACATAAGAGAAAGAATAGGTAGTATATAAATGATGAGATTTCATTCTTTATTGCTGAATAATACTAAATTTTGGATATATGCCATATTTTCTTTCTCTCTCTGTTGTTGTATACCTAGGTGGAGCCCATAGTGCTGCAGTAAACGTGGGCATGCAGGATCTTTTGTGTGATTTTATTTCCTTTGGTAGATACCGAGGGAGGCTGGTCATGTAGGTACCCTCTGCCTAGCAACTACTCAAATTTCAGGCGTCTAGGGGGCAGCACATATTTCAACATTAATTACTGTGTTTGTACAGATAGTTTAGGAATAGTGAACACCCCTTGTCAGACAGTCAACTTTATGAACCTGTTGAAAGCTAAGTTTTTAGATACCAATCAAAGGCCAACCTTCTAAGCAGGTTCTTCTACAGATAGCAGTGTGAGGCTTGCTGTACTCTTCTTTGCACAAGGGTCAAGAGAGTACATAATGAGATTATAGTCTTGGGTGAAAGGTTAGCATCATATACTTCTTAATACAATCCTGAGAACAACTACTGAGTTGCTGAGAAAATTTGAAAGAACTTGGAGAAGAAATGAGGCTTTTTGTTTTATGAAGTCATGAAGAAAATCTTCCAGTTCCTGGCAACAACTTTGCTTTGCTTGCTCTGTTTCCTTTTTCTGTCCCTCCCCATCTCCATTTTTTCCTTTTTCCTTCCCTCTTTTTTTATTGCAGAATCAAGGCTGCTGTCCCAAGCATCAAATTTTGCTTGGACAATGGAGCCAAGTCAGTTGTCCTTATGAGCCACCTGGGTCGGCCTGATGGTGTTGCAATGCCTGACAAGTATTCCTTACAGCCAGTTGCTGTGGAACTCAAATCTCTGTTGGGCAAGTAAGTGCCAGGCTTTGGTGCGGGTAGATTCTGTGGGAGGAGAGATTGCTAGGCATATTGTTACTGGCTCTTGATTTTTAGACCATTGAAGTGTTTTCCTCTCTTGCTTCCCCCAGGGATGTTCTATTTTTGAAGGACTGTGTGGGCCCAGAAGTAGAGAAAGCCTGTGCTGACCCAGCAGTTGGGTCGGTTATCCTGCTGGAGAACCTCCGCTTTCATGTGGAGGAGGAAGGGAAGGGAAAAGATGCTTCTGGGAATAAGGTACAACTTGTGATTTTGACATTGTTGGATGTGAGGGCCTGAATCACAGAGTCTGAAGAATAGGAAGTTCATTTTATTTTTCCTTAGACACCTTTTTATTGAAATATACACATAAAATGCACAAATGTACAACTTGATATATTATTACAAAGTTAACACACTTTGTACCCATCACTTGGGTCAAGGAATAGAATAGCATCCCAGAAGTCCTTGTCATGTTCAAATGATTTTGGAATACCTTTGAAAAATCTGTGAACACTGTTGTGGTATGAGAGTGATTGTGATATTACCTTGGAATTAAAACATTTTCTTAAGAATTATAAACCAAAAAAAAAGAATTATAAACCATTTTCCTATGCAATGCTTAAGAGGGAATTATGGGTATCATCCTCACTTCATAAGCTAAGTCTCAAAAAAATAAGAGAAACTAAGTTTCAGAAAGGTAGTCATGTGGTTAAAGTTAGTGCTATGCTTTATGGTTCAATCCACTAGATCAGAATCATTTTCTCAGAGCATGGTGATATATGTCTGTAATCCCAGAATTCTAGAGGCTAAGGCAGGAGGATCCCAAATTCTAGCCTACCCTGGGAAATTTAGTAACTTACCCAGATCCTGTCTCAAGATAAGATGTAAGAAAGGTCTAGGGATATAGTTCAGTGCAGATGCCCTGGATTCGATATCCAGTGCTACACACTTGAAAGAAAGAAAAGGAGGGAAAGGAATGGAAAAGAAATGGAAGGGAAGAAGAAAGCTTTTTTTTAAAAGAATAAAGTTCCAGAGAGTAAAACTTCTAGGCTTTGTGGGTCATATAGTCAGTTGTAACTGCATATAGTATCTGTTGGATCTACAGAGCTCTGCCAGTGTCATGCAAAGCAGCCATAGTTAGCTCATGAAAAAGACTGACTAGACAAGCAGAATCCAGTTATTAAAACTGGCTTTTTGAGCATGATTTTGAATTTACCAAATGGCCAGAAGGTAAACTACAGGCAGTTTTTAGTTTGTTCTACTCTAGCCTTTAGTGTCTGTGAGAACCAGATGCCCTGAGGCTGGTATCTCAGTCCTCTTTGACTTCTGACATTTCTTAAGGTCATCCAAAGTGCTTGCTTTCAAGCAGTTTCTTTTCTTAGCATCACAGGCCTTGGTCTTGCCTTATCTTGCCTTTGGCATGGTTTTGCTATAGTAGTAGGAGTCAGATGCTGATCTAAAATTTGGTGCCCTTTTAAAATGAAACTCAAGTGCACAAACTTAAGGGCTTAGAGATGGCAGGAGTTAACCTGAGAACTAATGCAAAACATTTTATTTGGGGAGATGAACTATGCTAATCTGACTTTTTTAGTTAATTCACTGGACATTTAGGCTAATGACTTTCCGTGTTTGAAATTTTAGGAGCTAATTATAAGGTCTAACTGGATACAAAAACAAAGTGA